AATTTGTACCCAACATAGGGCTCGAACTCATGACCACAAGATCAAGAGTTGGATGCTCCCCCCGCTGAGGCAGCCAGGCGCCCCATCTCTGGGGTTTTCTATCTCTACCTGTCTGCTTCAATCAACTCTTTCAGCCGCGTGATCTTAGGAAAGCTTCTTAACTGCTCTGAGCCTGTTTCCTCATCTGTAAAATGGGACTAATAGTTCTAACCAGACTGGTTAACTTAGTGATGGGTACACAGCACATGCTTCACCAGTGTTAGCTGTTAAATAGAGGTTGCTTCTGTCATGGGGCAAATGAGACTAAGAAGCCTCCTGTCAGTATCTGATTAAAGCTGGACCAGATCATTATATCTCCCAGGATCTGGACGTTTGGAGAGAGTTGGAGGAAAGTCCCTGGAAGGCTCTAGTTTCTGTCTGTGTTTTGACAACTCCCTCCGGGATTCCACGGGCTGCCTCAGTGTCCTTCCCATTAATCCTGTGGCTTTATCCAGCCAAGGGCAACTACCAGGTCGATGTAACCCCAGCCCTGACCTCTGGCAAGCGTCCGTGCTGCATCCAGGGAGAGGAAATCTGGCCAGTTTGGGTCAGGCATACACTTCTGGGCCAATCAATCATGTCTGGCCAGGGGTGGAAGCTCCTGGTCTGTGAAGCTGTCCACTGAGTGCCTTACTCTGAGCCAGTCACTGTTCCACGTGCTGGGGAGACAGCCAGGAACGAGAGAAGCTAGGCCTCAGGAGCTGATGTTCTAGTGGGCGAGAGCTGTGTTAGGCTCCTGTCGCCGCTGCAACAAAGTTTTAACGGCTTAAGCACAAGTGTTTGATCTTAACAGCCCTGGGTGTCGAAGTCTGAAAATGGGCCTCACCAAACTAAACTCAGGGTGTCAGCAGCGCTGCGTTCCTGACTGGAGCTCAAGGGAAGAATGTTCTCCCTGCTTTTTCTTTGGCACGTGACCCTGTGCTGCTCTTTGTAGCCCCCCAGTCCATGATCGTCTCCCCACCTCAAGACAAGTCCTGTCTGCAGAGGCCCGTTGGCCATGTGAAGTAACATTGAGAGGTTCCACTGGACATCTTTTTTTTTTTTTTTTAAGTTTATTTATTTATTTTGAGAGAGAGGGAGAGAGAATCCCAAGCAGGCTCTGTGCTGTCCACACAGAGCCCCACGCGGGGCTTGAACCTACAAACCATGAGGCCACAACCTGAGCCAAAATCAAACGCTTAATGAACTGAGCCACCCAGGGGCCCCAGTTTATTCTGAGAGAGAGAGAGAGAGAGAGAGAGAGAGAGAGAGAGAGAGAGAGAACGAACTAGTGTGAGCAGAGGAGGGGCAGAGAAACAGGGAGAGAGAGAATCCCAAGCAGGCGCCGAGCTGTCAGTGCTGAGTCCAACACGGGGCTCGATCTCACAAACCGAGCTCACGACCTGAGCCAAAACCAAAACCAAGGATCGGACTCTCAGCCGAGCGAGCCACCCAGGCACCCCTCCAGTAGACATCTTCGAGACCCATTCTGCCCACTGCAAGAGGAGACACAAAACTAGATAATCGAGAAAATACCTGCCTGGCGTGACCAGCTACGCCAGGCTGAACAGGAAGTGAGATAAAGAGGGCAAGGAGGGGGGCGCCTGGGTGGCGCAGTCGGTTGAGCGTCCGACTTCAGCCAGGTCACGATCTCGCGAGATCTCGCGTGATCTCGCGTGAGTTCGAGCCCCGCGTCGGGCTCTGGGCTGATGGCTCAGAGCCTGGAGCCTGTTTCCGATTCTGTGTCTCCCTCTCTCTCTGCCCCTCCCCCGTTCATGCTCTGTCTCTCTCTGTCCCAAAAATAAATAAATGTTGGAAAAAAAAAAAGAGGGCAAGGAGGAGAGAGGGATGATACCACAGGTTGGGTGAGGCCTTGCTGCAGTAACAACCCCCAGACCTTTGCGGTCAACAACCACAAAGTTCATTTCTTGCTCACGGTAACCTGTCCATCAAGGGGCGGTAGGGGCCCTCCGTTCATCAGAGCCACGCAGGGACCCAGGCTGACTGTGGCCCGATCTCAAAGTGGCTTGTGTCATCACAGAGCCACTCCCTGACCCACTTAATCCTCATCCAGAAGTGACACTCGGCACCTCCACCCTCCTTTCATTGGCCAAAGGGAGTCACGTGACTGTGCCTGAGTTCCACGGGGCACATGGTCCTAGACTCCTGCAGAGGAAGGCCCCCGGATGTTTGTGAACAATTCTTCCGGGGATGGGTGGGCCAAGCACGAGCTTCAGAGAAGCACGGATGTGGAAGGGACCTTATATTTTCTCATTTACCTCCAGGCTGGAGTCGAAGAAACTGAGGCTTGAGGATAAGGGGCTGGCCAAGCTCCCACAATGACCCAGCCAGAGCTAAAAGTCTTATTTGCCAGGCCTGATGCAACAAGACCTATTCCCCAAGTCCCCTTGGGTCGCGGGCCCTGGCAGGACAAAGCCAGAGGCCCAGAGGACGGTCAGACCCCAGCAACACAACAAGCTCCTGGCCTGTGCCAGGGAGACCCATAATCTGTGCGACTGTGGAGGGGACACGGGGGGGGGGGGCAACCACCTGGAGACTGAGGATCTTATAAGAGTTTTGGTGTGGGCAAACGGGGAGGAGATAAAGAGGAAGTGAGTGGCACGGCAGAAGGGCTAGAAAGCTGTTCCAAGGGCAATAGGGAGCCACAGAAGGTGTGTGAGCAGAAGAGAGGTAGGTAGGCTCAGCTCTGGTTGGAAGATACCACATAACCTGAGGTGACAGGTGTTACGATATGAGAAGGAGCTCAGGGTACCCAGAGATGTCACCCTATCCAACCCGAGTGCGCATGTGCAAGGGGAGGGTGAGGGACGGCGGCCACCTTCCCAGGGAAGGTGCCGTGTGCGTTCAGGGTTTTTTTTTTTTTTTTCCGGCTTTGTTGAGGTATTATTGACAAAGGTTGCATCTATTTCGGTGATACGACCTGATTTTTTTAAGTGTATAAAACGTGTTTACTATACCTATACATCGTGAAACAGTTAACCGTAATCAACTTAATGAACACATCCATTGCCTCACAAAGTCACCTTTTCTGTGTGCGATGAGAACATTGAAGATCCACTCTCTTAGCTCAGTGCCTCTGGAAAAAAAAAAAAAAAAATTCCGATATATTCAAAAGCAAAACAAACGTTTCTCCTAGGAAATTTCAAATGTACCATACGGTTTTGTTAATGATAGGCACCATGCTGTATTAGAGCCTCGGAACTTTACTCATCTTAAAACTGAAACTTTGTACTTTTTGGACCAACATCTCCCCGTTTCCCCTACTGGCAGCCCCCCCTCCCCCGCCCCTGGCAACCAGCGTTCTACTCTCTGACTCTATGAATCGACTTTTTTAGATTCCACGTAGAAGTGATTCCATACATGATTTGTCTTTCTCTGTCTGGCTTAATTCACGTAGCACAACGCCTTCCAGATTTATTATCTGCGATGTTGCAAACAGCAGGATTTCCTTGTTTTTGTAGCTGAGTAATTTTTTTTTTTTTTAATTTTTAACATGTTTATTTATTTTGAGAGAGTGCAAGGGAGGGGAGAGGCAGAGAGAGGGAGACACAGAATCCGAAGCAGGCTCCAGGCTCGGAGCTGTCAGCATAGAGCCCGACTCCGGGCTCGAGCCCACGAACTGTGAGATCGTGATCTGAGCCGAAGTCGGACGCTTCACCGGTTGAGCCACCCAGGCGCCCCTGTAGCTGAATAACATTCTATTGTGTATATATACCACATTTTCTTCATCCATTCATCCATCAGTGGACACTTAGGTTATACCTTGGCTATCGTGGGTAAGCCACGTGAACACGTGAGTGCAGATATCTCTTTGAGAGACTGATTTCATTTCCTTTGGAGAAATAACAGACGTGGCATTGCTACATCATATTACTTCTTTATTTATTTGGAAAGTTTATTTATTTTGAGAGAGCGCAGGCAGGAGGGGCAGAGAGGGAGAGGGGGAGAGAATCCCAAGCAGAAGGAACAGCATGTGCAAAGGCCCAGAGGTGGGAAACAGCCCGGCGGGGGAGGGGGGGCGGGGGGGGGGCTGTAGTGGTTTGAATAGTGCCCCCCCCAAAAGATACGTCCCTGTCCTCACCTCTGGAACCTATGAATGCGACCTTCTCTGGAAAAACAGTCCTTGCAGATATAATTAACTTAGGGATCTCGAGATAACATCCTGAGTTGGGGCGTCCTGGGTGGCTCGGTTGGTTAAGTGCCTGGCTTCAGCTTAGGTCATAATATCACAGTCCAGAGCCTGCTTGGGATTCTCTCTCTCCCTCTCTCTTTGCCTCTCTCTCACTCGCTCGCTCTCAAAATAAATAAACTTAAAAAACAAAAAAAAAACATCATCCTGAGTTATCCGAGTGGGCCCAACATCTAATGACAAGTGTCCTTATAAGAGACACCCAGAGGGGAGACACTTCTAGAGAAGGCCAGGTGAAGACAGAGGCAGAGATGGAGATATGCAGACACAAGCCAAGGAACCCCGGAGCTCCCAGGGGCTACGCTTAGGCCACGCATCCAATGTGGAGATGGCGTTGTGGCTGAAGCAGTCGGGGGTCCCCGCGGAGGCCAGGGCTGAGCAGTAGCAACGGCAGCAAGGAGGTCTGCGGGCGACGCACGGGGTGGGGGCGCCCTCTGTCGGCTCCACTCGCACCCCTCACCTGGACGACGCCCCCCACACACAGCCCCCTTCTCTCTGTCTCCCCTCTTTCTCCCCTCCCAGCTCTCCTTCCATCTCTTCCAGCGCTCGGCCCTCCTCCTTCTGACTCCTGTGCGCATCTCGGACCAGCCTTCCCCATTCCAGGAGAGGATGAAGTCCTCAGGGCGACCTTCTCCTTGCCCCGTGTGCATTGGTTCTGGCTGGAGCCCGCTCCCCATTCGCTGTGGGTCCCACCGGGGAATCGACCCAACTCGGTGCTCCGGGGCGCGCGTGAGACGCCACCTGTCACCACCAGGTGGCGCCCGTTGCCTCAGCCCGATCCACCCCGGGCTCACTATCGCCCCCCAAAATTTCCTTTCGCTTTCGATCTCTGGCTGTCACCCGGCCTGGCCCCTTCCACGCCCAGCCGGGGCAAGCCTGGTGCGTGAGGAGAAATGGACTCCGGGTCCCCGAGGGGCGGGGCTGGGGTCCCCCTCCTGGCTGAGGGAGGAGGGATGGGGGTCAGGTTCCTGGGTCCCTGGCCTGGGGAGGGTTCCGGGGACCGGACGTCGGGGTTCTTAGAAGGGGAGATGAGTTTTCACCGTAACTGGGGCTCATGCAGGAAGCCCGAGGGAGTAGGAGGCGGAAACTTAGCCACATCAAGGAGCCGAGGGAGGGGTGGGGAGGTGAAGGGGCGGGTGAGGAAGGGGCTGGGGTGTGGGGGTCTGAGACTCCCTCTTCTGTCCCTTCCAAGATCTGGCCATAGGCATGAGGGGCCTCCGGCCGAGATGATAGTGCTGGCGCCAGCCTGGAGCCCAACTGTGCGTATACCTGGGGGGCAAGCTGGGGGAGAGGCAGAGCCGGATCAAAATGGGCAGATCTGAGAGAGGAGATGGACAGAGGTGGGGGACCTAGACAGGGGCTGGAACACGCACAGAGCGGGGGGACATAGGGGCAGGGGAGAGACGGACAAGGGTGGGGGACACGTACAAAAGAGAGGGACATGGACAGAGGTGGGAGACACAGACAGGGGTGGGGGACACGGACAGGGGTGGGGAACATGTATAGAGGAGGGGGACACGGGGCAGGGAAGAGACGGACAATGGTGGGAGACATGCACAGAGGAGGGGGACTTGGACAGGGGTGGGGGACAGCGACAGGGGTACGGGAGAGATGGACAGGGTCGGGGAAGAAATGGAGGTACAAATGGGGAAGGCAGGACCCACGTGGAGAAAGAGGTGAGCAGGACCGAGAGGGGCAGGTAGGTGGACAGAGAGAGAAAGTCCCGGGCTGAGGTGAGCAGACACGGGGAGCCGTGGGCGCAGCGGGGAAATGGGGAGCTGGGGGGACGGACGGGGCCAGCATCGGATACAGGCAGAGAGGAAGCGTGGGGGGGGGGGGGCTGCTCCGAGACGGGCACGGGAGCCCCAAGCAGGAAGGCCGACTGCTGGATGAGAGGGAAGGAGACCTGGGAAGGGAGAAAGAGGGGAGACAGAGAGAAGGGGGCCGGGGTTGGGGGGGGGGGGGGGTGAGTGCCCAGGTGAGGGGTGCGTGTGGAGCCAACAGAGGGCGCCCCCACCCCGTGCCTCGCCCGCAGACCTCCCTGCTGCTGCTGCTACTGCTCAGCCCTGGCCTCCGCGGGTCCCCCGACTGTTCCTTCAGCCACAGCCCCATCTCCTCCACCTTCAAGGTCACCATCCGAAAGCTGGTGAGGGCCCGGTCCCATCGTCTCCGGTGCGCCTTTCTGCGCCCACTGGGGCTAAGTTCCCCCCTCTAGGTGTCTGGCTCTCTGTCCCTTTCTCTCTGGCTCTCTGTCCCCCACTCTCTCTCTCTGGGTCTCCATAGTTCCGTTTTTCTCCTGTCTTCAGCCGGGTCTGACCCTGTTTTCTCCCATAGTCTGATTACCTGCTTCAGGATTACCCAGTCACCGTCGCCTCCAACCTACAGGACGTGAGTCGCAGATGGGAGGGGCTGGGGCGGGGGTAGACTCAGGAAGCACCACCCCTGGCGGGGGGGGGGGGGGGGGAGGAAATCGCCAGCCGGCCGACCTGCCCCTTCCTCCCCTGGGGTGCAGGACCCCAGGCCCTGGCCCCTCATCCTAACAGCCCCACCAGCACCGGCCCCCAGCCCCCTCCGCCGGCGGGCCCCCGAACTTGGGTTTTCTCTCCCAGGACGAGCTCTGTGGGCCATTTTGGCACCTGGTCCTGGCCCAGCGCTGGATGGGTCGGCTCAAGGCTGTGGCTGGGTCCCAGATGCAAAGCCTGCTGGAGGCGGTCAACACCGAGATACATTTTGTCACCTTGTGTGCCTTCCAGGTTAGCCCTGAACTTGGGAGACAGCTAGGGGAGTGCGTGAAATGCCTTCCTAGGGCTTACTTACTGGAGATTTCTTTAGACTGGCAACCCACGGGTGGTGGGGCTGGAACCCCAGTCCCCCTGGGGGGGCCCACTGCTGAAAAGAACGCTTCCCTGGGCACTGAAAGATGGCGAGGGTCCTGGGCCTAATGCTCCAGTTCTGAGTTGATTTCTCAGGCCCGTTACTGGGTGTTGCTGAGGGGTTCTCTCCCCTAGCAACCAGAAGGAGGCGATCCAAACCCCCTCGGGACCCAGATCTGACTGGGCCCGCTCGCTGTGCATCGCTAAGGACATCTCCCCTTAGCAATCCTGGGGGCAGGGGTCCAAACTCTCCCTCGGAGAACCTCAAGGGACCCTGTTAGGCATTGCCAGGCAGGGAAGGCCCTTGGCCTGAGCGGAGGGTGATGAGGGTGATGCGGTGGTGACGTCTCCCTCCCCTGCCCCCAGCCCCTCCCCAGCTGTCTTCGATTCGTCCAGACCAACATCTCCCACCTCCTGCAGGACACCTCCGAGCAGCTGGTGGCCTTGAAGCCCTGGATCACCCGCAGGAATTTCTCGGGGTGCCTGGAGCTACAGTGTCAGCCCGGTAAAGCCCCCCCAAGCCCCCCAAGCCCCCACCTCCTACCCTCACCTCTCGCATCCCACAGCCCCTCACCCCTTCCCCTCAGGCCATCCCAGACCCTGTTCTGCTCCCATTGGCTGTGTGACCTTGGGGCATGTCCCCCCAAGTTCATTCCTCTTTCTAGGCCTCAGTTTACCCATCTCTGAGAAGGGAACAGTCATCCCTGCCTTTTTCTTTTTTTTTTTTCCAGGTTTTTTTTTTTTTCCAAGTTTCACTTATTTATTTTGAGAGAGAGAGAGAGAGAGAGTGAGCACAAGCAGGGGAGGGACAGAGAGAGGGAGAGGCGAATCCCAAGCAGGCTCTGTGCTATCAGCGAGGAGCCCAATTCAGGGCTCGAACCCAGGCCCATAAATAAATAGGCTCTTGCAAAAATAAATAAATAATTATTTAGTGTGACATTTCATGTCCTTTGTCCCCTCTTAAATCTTTAGGAACCAGTGTGCATTTCACACTGCTGACGCATGTGAATTCAGACTCTTCGTAGGAGGTGTGTCAACAGTTGCTGCGGGAGGAGACTCAGCAACTCTAAAGGATCAATGGGGTGGGCGCCTGGGTGGCTCAGTCGGTTGGGTGTCCGACTTCGGCTCAGGTCATGATCTCGCAGTGTGTGGGTTCGGGCCCCGCGTCGGGCTCTGTGCTGACAGCTCGGAGCCCGGAGCCTGCTTCGAATTCTGTGTCTCCCTCTCTCTCTGCCCCTCCCCCGTTCATGCTGTGTCTCTCTCTGTCTCAAAAATAAATAAACGATAAAAAAAAATTTTTTTTTTTAAAAATAGGAAAACAGCTGAGTATAAGGAGCCCTATGCAGGCAAATTACAACAGGGTGATGGAAGCATGGTCTGAGGTGGTTGGCTGGAAAGTCACTGAAAGTTGAGAATGAGGGAACAGCCAGTGCGAAGGCCCTGAGGCAGAAACCTGCCTATGTGTTTAAGGAAGAGTGAAGGGACACATGTGGCTGGAGCCCAGTGGGTGAAGGGAAGAGAGAACAGGGTGAGCGTATACAGGGAAGGGTCTTTGACCGTTTTATTATCTGCCCATTTGTCAATTTGTCATTTGGCCAGATATTTAATTTATGAAATTAAGCTATTATAATATTACTTAATGAGCACTAAGTAGTAGGGTCTGGCAATAAATAAGACAGATAAGGTTCCTGTCACCCGCATGGAGCTCACAGCCGATTGGAGGAAAAAGAGGAATAAACAAATCAAAACATAAGCCCTAGAAATATATTTCTCCAGGGGCTCCTGGGGGGGCTCAGTCGGTTGAGTGTCCGACTTTGGCTCAGGTCATGATCTCGCGGTTCATGGGTTCGAGCCCTGCGTTGGGCTCTGTGCTAATGGCTCAGAGTCTGGAGCCTGCTTCAGATTCTGTGTCTCCCTCCCTCTCTCGGTCCCTCCCCTGCTCTGCCCTGCTCTGACCCAGCCCTTCTCCTCACTCACCCAGCCTTCTCTCTCCCAGCAGACTCCTCCACCCCACTGCCCCCAAGGAGCCCCAGGGCCTTGGAGGCCACAGCCCTGCCAGCCCCTCAGGCCCCTCTGCTGCTCCTCCTGCTGCTGTTGCCTGTGGCTCTCTTGCTGATGTCCGCTGCCTGGTGCCTGCACTGGCGAAGGAGGAGATGGAGAACGCCCTACCCCAGGGAGCAGGTGGGCCAGCAGAATGGAGAGAGGGCTTGGGGAGGTCTGAGGGGATGACACTGACCCTGTGGAGGCCACAGGCGCTTACGCCTCCAGGCTCCGCGATGTGCTGCCTCTGTGGCTCGTTGAGCATTGACTCGGCTCGGTGAATCCTTCACCAAGCCCAGCACTCTGGACTTTGTGGGGGGGGGGGGGCGGGGGGGCTAGGGGGGGAGTGTGCTCTGGATGAGGAAGACCACTCTGGGGCCATGATGACCAGACAGACTGGATGCTGGGTGAGGGTCCCGGGAGAGAGGACAAGGCCTGAGTCAGGGCCAGGACTGGCACCTCCATGGGGATGGAGAGAAGGGGACAGGCAGTTTCAAGATTCAGGGATCAAGAAGGACAGGGCGGGGGCACCTGCGTGGCTCAGTCAGTGGAGCAGGCGACTCTTGATCCCCAGGTTGTGAGTTCGATCCTCACGTTGGGTGTAGCGATTACTTAAAAAGAAAATCTTAGGGGGCACCTGGGTTGCTCAGTTGGTTACGTGTCGAACTTCAGCTCTGTCATAATCTCACTGTCATAATCTCACAGTTCATGCGTTCGAGCCTCGCATCGGGCTCTGTGCGTGCTGACAGCTCAGAGCCTGGAGCCTGCTTGGGAGTGTGTGTGTGTGTGTGTGTGTGTGTGTGTGTGTGTGTGTGTGTGTCTGCCCCTCCCCCACTGGCACTCTGTCTCTCAAAAAATGAATAAACATTAAAAAAATGTTTAAATAAAATAAAATAGGGGCACCTGGGTGGCTCAGTCGGTTAAGCGTCCGACTTTGGCTCAGGTCATGATCTCACGGTTTGTGAGTTCAAGCCCCGCATCGGGTTCTGTGCTGACAGCTCAGAGCCTGGAGCCTGGGCTGACCCAGGATGGGTCTGTGTCTCCCTCTCTCTCTGCCCCTACCCCCACCTGTGCTCTGTCTCTCTCTATCAAAAATAAATAAATGTAAAAAAAAATAAACGATAAAATAAAATCTTTAAAAAGCACATCTTTAAAAAACAAGACAAAAAGAACAGGGCTGCAGGTTGACAGGCTTGGGCAGGTGGCACAGAGGACCCTGGGTCTGGCCCAGTGGGGAACCTGAGGGACAAGGGAGATTAGGGAAAGAGAGTGAGCTCAGCGGGACCTGGGTGCATGAGGGGGCCCCAGGGGAGACATTCGGCTACAGGAGTGTGCAAGCCAGGAGAGAGTAGCCTCCTGAAGCAGGCGGAGGGGACCATCTTTGCAAAGACTTCCAGGTGTGAAAAGGCTGTGAGCGGAGTGTGGGTGTGAAAATCTAGGCCTCAAACACCAAGCAAGGGAGCTGGGACTTCCTGCCAGGGTAGCAGGGAACCAGGGGAGGTGAGTGATGGAAAAAAGAAGGTGAGAACAGGTGTGAGGGCAGGAGGCAGGTGGGCCAGGAGGGAGAAAGGACAGAAAGCCTTAGTGGGTTCCTGATGGGCCCAGAGGACTCTGAGAAGAAGCAGTTTGCAGTAATTGTTCACACATATAATGCCTTAGAGTTATGGACCTTATGCTGGGGCTTTCTACGAATTAACCTACTTAATTGAGAAGCTAGTGTCATTTTTATTTTGTTTCAGAGAGGCTGAAACCAAGGCACAGAGAAGCAAATAATTTGCCAAAAGTCACACAGCACATGAGTGACAGAGCCAAGACTTGACTCTGGGCTTTCTGGGCATCTAAGCCTTTCCCTCTTCTGCCTCAGTTTCCTTATCTGTACAAAAGACTCTAATAATATTCTTTCTACCATAGAGTTGTCTGGAAGTTAAGTGGCACACACAAAGCCCTCAGAGCAAGGCTGTCCAACAGAAATAGAACACAAGCCACACATGTCATTTAAAACTTTCTAATAGTTGGGGCACCTGGCTCTCTCAGTCAGTAGAGCATGTAACGCTTGATCTCAGGGTTGTGAGTTCGAGCCCCACATTGGGCATGTAGATTACTTAGAAAAAAAAAAAAACAACTTTCTAGTAGCCACATTTTTTTAAATTAAATTTAATTTTTTTTAGCGTTCATTCATTTTGAGAGGAGAGGGGAGGGGCAGAGAGAAAGGGAGAGAGAGAGAATCCCAAGCAGGCTCCACACTGTCAGCGCGGAGCCCCATGCAGGGCTCGATCTCACAAACTGTGAGATCATGATCTGAGCTAAAATCAAAAGTCAGACACTTAACACCCAGGCATCCTGTAGCCACATGTTTTTAAGTAAAAAGAAACAGGTAACTTTAATATATTTTATCTCACCCTGTGTATCCAAGATGTTGTCATTTCAACATGTAATCAATATTTTTAAAAATTATTGAGGTAGTTTACTCGTTTTTTTAAATGTTTATTTTTGAGAGAGAGAGACAGCATGAGTGGGGTAGGGGCAGAGAGGGGAGGAGACACAGAATCTGAAGCAGGCTCCAGGCTCCGAGCTGTCAGCACAGAGCCCGATGTGGGGCTTGAACTCCCGAACTTCGAGATTATGACCTGAGCTGAAGTCGGACACTCAACCCACTGAGCCACCCAGGTGCCCCAAGATAGTTTACTCATTCTTTCATACCAAGTCTTTAGAATCCAGTGTGCATGCGACACTAAATTTTTATTACAAATGCTTCATCTGTAGGGGCGCCTGGGGGGCTCAGTCGGTTAAGCGTCTGACCGGCTCAGGTCATGACTTCACGGTTTGTGGGTTTGAGCCCTGCATGGGGGGTGGGGGGGGGGTGGGGATGTGGTGACAGGTGTGGGGGTTGTGGAGCCTGGAGCCTGCTTGGGATTCTGGGTCTCCCTCTCTCTCTGTTCCTCCCCTGCTCTGTCTCTGTCTCTCTCAAAAATAAATAAAGATTAAAAAAAAAAAAAAAAAAAGATCATGACTTGAGCCCAAGTTAGACGCTTAACCAACAACTGAGCCGTCCAGGCGCCCCTACAATTTTTTTTTTTTAAGGCCATCCATTGAGTTTTCCTCCCATCCTTGCTCCTATCCACTCTGCTTCCTGCTCTCCTAAGAAATACACCATTGCCTAAGTTTAAGTTAGGTAAAATGTAACAATCAGCTCCTTAGTTGCCTTGGAATGCTCACCTTCACGTGGGGCTGCCTTGTGGCTGTGATGGGAGAGCTCAGATCCCGCTGCTCCCATCGCTGTCTGAGAGAACTGTCTTGTCTCGGACAGCGATGCCCTAACACAGAGAGCGCTCACTGCAAATGGAATTGTTTTCAGTAGCCCTGCACTTGATCCTCTCCTCTCCTCCCTCCACGGACCCCCGCAAGCAGCCCCGTGAGACAGACACATGTATCATCCCATTTACAGAGGAAGACACTGAGGCCCAGAGAGAGGAATCACCTGCCCGAGGACACAGAGCCGGGACTCGGAGAAAGTCAGCTAGAGACTGGTTCCTTCCTCGACCACGCTGCCCCGCTCACTCTCCCCCCAGGATGGAGGCAACGCCAGCCCCCAACGCCAGACCCAGACCCACCTATCCCCCTCTGTACAAAGTCCTTGTCCCCAGAAAATTGTATATAAATCATCCTTTTCCACCAGCCCTGGCCAGGACTGTCTGTAGGTGGGGCATGGTGTGGACGGGGCAGTTTGCGTGCGAGTCTTGGATTTTCGGTTAACGCAATGCTTCATTCAGTGGCCGTTTTCTGACGCCTCCTGGGGCCCAGAGCCAGTGCATGGCACTGCGGGGACCCAGATGCGAGTCAGAACCCACCCAGCCCCCTCAGGGCTCCTGATCTATGGGGGAGAAGACACGGGACCCCTCTGGGGTCAGTACAGCGTGACACGTTCTGATGGCAGAACAGGCACTGTGGGAGCCCAGAAGAGGTACCCGGCCCAGCCCCAGACACCGGGGAAGCTCTCTGGAGGAAAGGACCCCAGCCAAAAAACACTGGGATTGTGACATGCCAGATATTAGAAGGTGGGGCTGGAGAGGAGGACATCGCAGGTAAGGGACGCAGCAGAAGCCATCTGGAGTCATTCCCTCACACACTCTCAGATCGCATAGGGAAAACGACTTCCACCTGTTTTACAGATGAGGACGTTGAGGTCTAGACAGGCGAGGGGTTTGGCCAGGTCATAAGGAGGCACACCAGGCACTGGACCCAGACCTACCCAGTCTAGACTGGGCCCTGAACAGAAAGCCTCGTTGCCCTCTGCGGGCCACCACGTGCCCTGCAGCCTGCGCTCGCTTTAGCGGGCGAGCCCCCGCCCTAGAGGGAGATTAGCAGCCCCTCAAAAATATGGCGGCCGAGGCTGGCCAGCCCCGCCCCAGCTGAGCCGTCCTACCCCCACGTGATCTCTCGCCCCTCACAGCAATGGCTATCTAAGAGCCGGCGAGAAGAATTGGACCCGGATTGGACAGTCGGGAGACGACCCGCCTTCTAGCGGGGCCTCTCTGCGCACGCGCTAGACGCTTCAACCAATGCAAAGACGGAAAGCTGCCCGCACAGCCCATGCGGCGTCACTTCCTCCGCCCCTGTTTCAAGGGATAAGAAACCCTGCGCAGAGCCTTCCTCCTTTCCTAGGCGGCTGCCGAAGATGGCGGAGGCTCAGGTGCGGGCTCCGCGCGGGCCGGGGAGGCGTGGGGCCGGGTGGGATCCAGGCCCGGGCCGAGTTATACCCTCTTTCCCCTCGTAGGTGTATTGTGAGATCTAATCTAGGTTAATTGAGCGAAACGGGGCAGCTTTTGGTCTAAGAAGAGTCTGCAACGGGGGAAATAGGAGATACACGGGGGGTTTTTTTGGTCGGTGACTGGCTAAAATGCGGCATCGTTCCTCCCTTAGGGGTGATTATGGGGGCTCCCAGCACGGGAAGAGTTAGTTTCAAATTAGGTCTCGTTTGCCTTTGTCCTTTGGCCGAATGAGACCCGTGTGTCCCCAGCGGCGGGGAAGCACGCAGAAAGCGCCTGGGCGGCCTCGCGGCGGTGAGACGCCGAGGACTGACCAACATGCCCCAGTCGCGCGTTGCTTCAACCTCGTGGGACTGCTAATCCGTGTTCTGCAGCTTTGAGCGTTTTTGTAGGAAACTTAGGCAGTGGGTCCAGAGCGTTCTCGCCTACAGGGCGTGCAGGAACGAATTCCTCTTTTTCTTTTGCTCGTTGGGGTTGATTTTAAAGATCTGAAAGGAGGGACCTGTAATAAAAAGGCTCCACAACCCCGAGACCTACACTGTTCTTAAACGGGAGGTGGGGGGGGGGGGAGGTTGGGGACCTCGAGGGACACAGCAGAAGCTTAGGTCTGAGTGCCCGCACTCCTGTCATTTCTTTTCTGTAAAGGAGGGGATGGCTCGGGGAAATGGTCCCCGTGTGAATTTCATGTAAGGAGTCTGAGTGGTTGAGGAAGGAAAAAGCAAGTGTGTGCCCTGGGGAAAGTGGTAGAGAAGTTCTCTGAACACGTGTTCCTGGCACGGCTTGTGTTATATTTTGTGTAATTCCCCTGACCTTCCCATAACGTTCCTGAGGCAGATACTGTTATCCTCATCTTCCAGGTGAGGAGGCTGGAGATTTTTAGCCAAAGTCACATTGTCAGGAAGTCTGGCTTTAGATTCTGTACCCTTCTGCCTTCCAACAATCACAAGTATATAACAAGCACTCGGTAAGAGTGGGGACTTTGCTCGTGGTGAAGAAGCTGAGGATTCGGTGTTGAGCAGTTCACCCAGGGACACAGTTAGTCCATGTAGAACCCAGCACAGGCTTTTGTCTACGCCGCAGAGCCTCACCCACACTGGGCCCGTTTCCTTTGCTATTCAGTTTGTGCTGGAAACGATTTTGCCCTTGAGGTCAGGAGAGAGTGAGTCCGTCAGCATTCCCGCAGCTGGTGTCACCGATGATAAATTCTAACTGGGTCCGTGGACAGAGTGTTGCCAGTCTTTGTTCAAATCCCAGCACGTTCTCTCAGCCTTGAATGTAATCTGGGCTTAAAAAATTCCTGCCCTTCAGGCATCTGTGAGATGTGAGGCAAGGTCTTTGTTTTATTCCATTTACTGAAGTCTCGAGTCCCCCATTTGCTTGCTTGGCCACATCTGTAAAATGGGCCTCGGGTCCTAGTTTCCAGGCGTGCTAATGGATAGGAATTGCTCTGGGGGAGAAGGTGAAAGAACCAAGTAGAAAGCAATGGTTGCTTTGGGGGGTGGGTAGTCAGTGCCGTGGGTGTGTCTAAGCTCTCCCCCCATCTCCACCAGGTCCTGGTGCTCGATGGCAGAGGCCATCTCCTGGGCCGCCTGGCGGCCATTGTGGCCAAACAGGTGCTGCTGGGTAAGTCTGCTCTGCCCCCCCACCCTCCCCGACCGAGTCCCAACCAGAGGTCCGTGATGAGCAACAATCACCATCTTTCGTTTGAGTCTCACGACCATGAGATCAACCCCATGCACCGCTCTGAGACCTGCCAGCCCCTCCCTGTCCCGGGGTCAGGGGCTCCAACATGGAACGTTCTTTTCCTGTTTGGCTGTTAATTTAAGCACAAGTCTAGCTCTGTGACTTGGGTGGGGCAAGGGGATCCCCTGCCAGGGTCTTGGGTTTCTTGTGCCTTACGGTCAGTTCCATACAGGGGAGGATCCCTGTTTCCGGGTCCTCGGCGTAACCGGGCAGGTGTGTGGTGGCCAGTTTGTAGGTAAAGCCCTCGGCTGGCTACCTAGGTTTTGTTCTCCTCCGTCACCTCGTTTTCCTTTTTCTCTAGGCCGGAAGGTCGTCGTCGTGCGCTGCGAGGGCATCAACATTTCTGGCAATTTCTACAGAAACAAGTGTAAGTTCGGACGTGGGAGGAGGGCTAGAGAGGATGGACCTGGGAGAGCCTCAGGCTTCCTTGGCTCCAAAAGTGAGCCCGCAGGTGGTGGGAAGTGCCCGTGTGAGTTCCTAAAAGGCCCCTGGGAGTGTGGATGTGCGTGTGTCTGGGGCTGAGCCTTCACGCTGCTCTCTCCCCGCAGTGAAGTACTTGGCCTTCCTCCGCAAGCGGATGAACACCAACCCATCCCGAGGCCCCTACCACTTCCGCGCGCCCAGCCGCATCTTCTGGCGGACGGTGCGAGGTGAGCTGGGCCCGAGGACCGCAGGCGGGGACGGCCGGGTGGCCAGTGATGAGGACTTCTCCCACTCGTGTTCGAGTTCCCCAACCGTGAGATGACTCCACATGCACTACCATCTGAGGCCGCCTGTGCGCCGGCGGGGCGGGGGTCCTCGTGAGCCCCGGTGAGCGAGCCTGCCGCCCCTCTGCCCACAGGCATGCTGCCCCACAAGACCAAGCGAGGCCAGGCCGCCCTGGACCGCCTCAAGGTGTTTGATGGGATCCCGCCCCCCTACGACAAGGTGAGCGTGACGTTCCCGTGCCACATTCGTGTGCGCAGCGTCCGTGATGTTGCACAGTTGTACCTACATTGTTTGATCCTCGTGAGAACAGCACTGACTGAGACGCTCTTCCAGCCAGCCTTGTCCCCTGTCTGTCCCTCACTCCAGGTTTCTTAAGCCCCTCTCCTTCTCTAACAGAAAAAGCGGATGGTGGTTCCCGCCGCCCTCAAAGTTGTGCGGCTGAAGCCTACACGGAAGGTGAGCTGTCGGTTACATGGAGTGGTCTCGCGGTGGGGGGGGGGGTGGACGGACTTGAGGTCCCGGAGGCTGGCAGATGATGTCTCTTTCTCACGATGGTCTGCGGATGCCACTGCTGGCAGTGCCGACAACGCCAATGGCTCAGCTGATGCCAGGAGGAGGGGGCGGGGAGCCCTTACGGGGGGGCGGCTGTGTCTTGGCTCATGCCTGCTGAGAAAAGCAGGGTCTGCTGTGACAGCTTGTCACCTGTCCCCTAGCCACCCTGGCTCCACTTCACTTCTCCCCCTTCCTCCACAGTTTGCTTACCTGGGGCGCCTGGCTCACGAGGTTGGCTGGAAGTACCAGGCAGTAACGGCCACCCTGGAGGAGAAGCGGAAGGAGAAGGCCAAGATCCATTACCGGAAGAAGAAGCAGCTTGTGGTGAGGATGGGCTGGAAGCTAAGGGCACCAGGCTCGGGCAGGGCCTTTGGGGGCAGGGGCGTGTCTGGATGCGGTGGTTCAGCCCGGGAGGCCTTTCTGAGGCCCAACTGGGGGGGGGGGGGGCGGGGAGTGGGATCGGGTGGGGTCCTGGGAGGAGGAGTGTCCCAGGCGGCAGCCACCAACCGGCATCTGTCCTCCTCACCCCACAGAGGCTACGGAAACAGGCCGAAAAGAACGTGGAAGGGAAAATCAACAAATACACAGAGGTCCTCAAGACCCACGGACTCCTGGTCTGAGCCCAATAAAATTGACTGTTTATTCCTCATGCTTGGCCTGGCCTGCGCTTCCTCCATCGCCGCCCTAGGATGTGGGGGACTCCGGGGGCCCCTGTTTAGGTGCCACAGGCAGCCTGGGCCTTAGAATACTGGGACCACAGGGCTTTAGTCACTGCTGCTCAGGAAGGCCTCCTAAAATGTTCAAACGGCTCTAAGAGCTTTGAGGCATAGATTGCCCGTGACGTCCTCATTCATGAAGTTTTAAGAAGTTGACAGTTGCAACAACTAGGGCAGTTTCACCATTTGC